CACTGGAGGAACTGCAGTTCTGTGCACTTCCACATTGGCTTCATTTTTCGACACTGGAGGTTGCTGATTGGCGACTAGTGAAGCAGCCCCCTGCTAGCCATTTGAAAGAATTCAGTAATAATGCAGTTCCACATAGACTTCACTTCTGAAACCAAAAGGCTACAAAACCCCTTCCAGTGTTCAGTTTAGGCTGACTGGCTTTTGGAGTCAGCCTCAAGTACCTTTTGCTGTACTGCAGTTTTTTATTGGCACTTTCTCCTAAGCTTTAGTTTTCAGCCCCGGAGTTTGCAGCCTGACAGAAACACATAAGTTGGCAGAAAACGGACCGCCCTTGAAGAAGTCTATTCCCGAGAAAAAGGGGTTAGTTAAAAGGTTTGTTTTCAGACTTCAAGTGGAGTTTTCTGTTAGCGAATTCCCTGCAGATTGACTTTACAAGTATTAGGGTTAAGTGAGGATGAGAGAGTAAACTTTCCGGCCAGAGTGTGTGGGATGATTGCACACAGACACCACTTAGGGCAAAAGAGAAGGTCTCAAAGAGAGGGGGGGTGGGAAAACAATACAGAGAGAGACATGTTCAAAGAAAATAGCACTTAAAAAATGAAGATGACAAAATGTCAGCGTTTCATCCAGTCAATTTTGAAAGGGAAAAGGACAGAATGTATTGGAGAAGAGTTTGTTGATCAGTATGAGTCACAGCATGACGTGCCAATATCTCTGGATCTGTCCCAGAAAGGTGCTGGTAGAGAGCTGATTCTCCCAGATGGTGCAACGAATATCTACATGCACCGTTTGTGTGGACAGATGTTTGTGATGCGTGGTGGGTTTTGCGGATGCCTGAACAGTTTCCCAGTCAAAGTCTGAGCAATCAAAACAAGAGAAAAAAAAAACTGACAGATGTTTGCTCTCAGGAATAATCCAGAGCAGCAGCATCAACACCAAACAGAGACCTTTTCACTGTTGTCAGTTCTCTAATATTATTTATTCACATAGCCAGCTAACTATGGCACTTTTTTAAGCTTTTAATGTTTGTGACGGCTCTCTTATATATCCTGTATCTGTGTTCTCTGAAATTAACTTCAACAAAATTCAATACTGTTGTAGGCAAAGAGCGAGACCCAGACTCCAGGGAAGGGTTTTCTGTTTTCAAGGTTGATATTCCAGTGTCGGCCTGGAGCGATTAATCCCTAGTTGATATCTTTAATCCTCCTGACACACACATGGACGAGTGCTTTAAAGTGTGTCCTCAGACACTGTACAAACATTTCTAATAGATTGCAGTCTGAAATAACAGTCGGTGGAGGTGATGGGAAATGGGCCACTTAAAGAAGAGAAGAGGAAGACAGCATGTGCATACAAACAATGTGGACTCGATCCAAAATCCAGTGAAATGTAACAAGAAGAAATCATTGTGTACCGAAGCTGAGTCACACGGGAAGGCTGGGCAAGACTTGAGTGGAGACTAGATCTGATGAAAACATGAAAACTGAGAGATGAGACTTTAATGAAGTGATATAATCAGTTTAAAACGTTCACATCTTTGTGTCAAATAAGTACAATATTATGTTTTATTTGTTGTTGGACCCGAAAGCAACAACAGTCTGGAAGATAGATGAGTTATTCTCCTTCAAACTTTCATTTAGCTACCAAACATGAACTATAAATCAATGTTTTCCATCATTTAAGGAGGGAAACTGTGGACTAAGATTGTAAAAAAAAATGTTTGATACATTGGTCACTTTTGATACCATGGGTTTTAAAATAATAACAATCTCTGTTTATTTAATAATTTAAATGATCGGTGGTATAGACAGGCTACAGAAGCTTTTAGAAGAAACAAAAACATCAGTCTTATTTTTGACTCAAAGTGAAGGAGAGCACTGCCTCGATTTGCACAAATATGTTGGCAACCTTCTAAACGATGCTAACATATTTGTGCGTATACACAACATACATAGTGCAAATGTATCCCAGACCTTACATAGAAGATAAATCCTTATATATTTTTGTTAAACCTGCAACAATACTTTACACGCAGAATGTCGTGGTGAGTAACCCTCTTCATTTGCAATGCAAATGTTGTACAGTAATGAGTTCTGCAAGGACCGTTTCAAATGTTTTAATGGTCTTCTCAGCAGAGGCCGACCTCAAAATGAATGCTAAGTTATGGCAGAATTGCAGCTCTGAACAAAAGACCTCATCTCTGCCTTTTTTTTTTTTTTTTTAAACGTCTAGGATGAATTCTCTGCCCACATTCACATCTTAGGTCACTGCGCTTCATTCCCTGCTGTCTGAAATGCAAAGTATGAATGTAAGAGCTGCACATTTTAATGTTGCTCCATATTGGGGATGGCACAGCTTTTTATTTTACAGCTTTCTCCAAGAAATTAAGTTTCACGACGAAGTCACAATGCATTACACAAACATGTCCCTTTCACCTAAATTTCAGCCTGCAAAGTGATAAGAGCTTCTTCACGCTGATAATCCCTCCTATATAGGCCACATGGCTCAACTCAGCAGACTTTCATTTGTGAATGACTTCATGTGGCCCGGTCACCACTCGCTTTGCTCACACTGACACGAAGCACTCGTGTGAGCAACTTTGAATCGGTGTGCATCCCCCAGGAGACCCCCCTTCGAAGGTGAACAGGACACTTTTAAGGAAACGACAAATATCAGCTGCCACGCTGTTCAGGTGGTTTTAGCTTTCAACGCCCTCCCATTTCTTTCCTCCTCTTTTTTAGGATCAGTGTTTCACCTGTCTAAAAGTTTCAACAGTAAAAACCACTGGAAGTTAATGAAATAACAGGTGAATATAAACCAAACTCTGAATATAAACTGGACTACCAACAAAACAAAGAAAAGGACCAAGCCTCCAAGAAGAGAGCTCAATGCAGAAGTGTATAAATACATCATTATCTTTTGTTGACCAGTAGAGGGCCCTCTGTTTGAAACAACAAGTCTGATTGTTTATTTATTTTAACCTTTATTTGACCAGGTTCGTCCCATTGAGATTAAGAGTCTTTTTTAAGGGAGACCTGGCCGAGACAGTCAAAAACACGGAGTTACAGACAGAGACAAAACAATACATTTAGCGTTAAAAGAGAACCATCTTTGAGTCAAATCTGGGAGTCAGTAGTTCAAGCAGTCAAGATCATAGCATCGACATCCTGTAGAACCTTCTTCCAAGTCTTTTAGTTTTGATCCGAAACCCGAAAGAGATTATTTATAAGGGACATAAGACAGAGAAGAAAAATCTGGCAGACTGCCTTACCCCTATTTTGATATCAACTCAAAATTTGTATTCATCAATTACAAGCATGTCTTTGGACCGATGGAAGAAGCCAGAGTACATGGAGGGAACCCACATACACACTGAGAGGCCATGCAAACTTCACTCAGAGAGACACGCGCCCAGCAGACAGCGAAAAACCTCATTCATGAAAATGTTGTTTAAACTTTATTTTTGTCCCTTCAAAATGAAATCAAAATACATTGAACACATAGACACGATCAAAGAAAAACACACTCACCTGCACCTTTTTCTTTTAATCTCTTATCTTAAACAATTTAATCTGTGAGTAACGTTATGCATCTGTAGTCTTTGGGCACTTTTAGTTGCATGTAAAATTGCTGCTGTGTTGAGTTGAGTTGAGGTACTTTGTCTGAAAAGGCTTCTCCTTCATCTTCTGTGGCTCACTTTGCTTTCATAGTGGAGATCCGTGTGAGAGCTGCAGCGGTCCACAGACACAGCCCTGCATGTGGACAAAGTAACACTAAGCTCGTTGATACTTCACAGCTGTTCTCCCATTACAAAATCTGAAAGACGATTCTGAAGCCAGACAGTGTTCCTCTGAGAGGTGTTTGTTTAGACGAAGAGAGAAGAAAAAGTGTGATGAAGAGGCACGAGCTGATAAGAGCGGCAGGTTCGTCTGCTGTGTCACCGTTTGCCAGGAGAGGGCGCCGCTGCTCTACTGTGTGCAAAGAAGACGCTTCAAACAACCTTCTCTGCAGTTTCACTCACACTGAAAAAGATGTACAGGTGGTGCAGTTTATTAATGAATCCATTTTTATTATTTAAGGCACAAGCCGTGTTGTTAATTGTATTGTGCTCATAGAAGTAGCATGGATAAAGATGTTGCTACGTGACTTCAGAGGGAATGTTCTCTCCTTTTTGTATATTTCTAATTAACAGCTTTGATTAGAATATTTCACTCTCGATAAAGTCATTCGTTTCTCTTCACATTTAAGTTGCCAGGAAGTCTTTAAAAAAAGAAGGTTTTTATGTTTTTCCATCTCCAAATCTTTTCTGCTTTAAGATTCATTTTTAATGTGATTAAAACTCTAAAGTCACTTAATGAGCCTCACTGGAAGTATGGCTTAAATAATAAGAAATATCAGGGAACAACTCCTGATTTCCCTCCCTGTCAGAATAATAATTAAAAAAAAACAACATTTTGCTGATATTCAAAGACTTTCCTCAATTTTTCTGTGAATATCTTCAACAAGGAACTTCCTCAGGAAAGATGTCAAACATCAAACTTAAAATGATTTCTCTTCATCACTTGACTTTATAAACCATCACTACTCCTGTATAAGCGATTTCTAGATTATTTTTGTCTTCTCTACCTGTTAACAAAGCTGTGAAGTCTTGAGCTGTCGTTGCGACAGATCAGGGGCTGAGCAGCATCAGGTCTGTCTCCCGTGTCATCACCCTGCTGTTCCCCCTTTGCTGGTATTGTAAATGAAATGCCAACCTTTACTCATGGCTGCTAAGGTTCAGCGCAAACACACAGTTGCATGCCAACACAAAGTCTGCTGGTTAACCCCACTCACAGACTGCAGACCTCTCTCTCTCTCTCTCTCTTTCTCTCTCTCTCTCTCTCTCTCTCCCTCTCTTCCTCGTCCTTATTGAGTATTATTGACTGGAGCCTGGACCAGCCAATCGGCAGGCAGCACCCCACCTCTGTCATCAGCCAGAGCTGGAGGAAGGGATTGGCTTGTGTGATCTGAGCTTGGAAGGCAGATGAAATGCCAGGTCTGCTCTGCCTCTGGGGACAACCAGGCTGCCTGATAATGGGAACCAACACTCGCTCGGCTCGGGGGCAATAATATCCAATTCAGCATCAGGAAAACAAAGAGCCACACCTTGGTTTTTTTCCCTCCCCTCTATCTGCTGCTCTAGTGTGATCTGGCTGCTCTGTGGTCCACCTTCATGTGGAGAAAGAGACTGCTGGTGGGCTCTGACGCTCCCCTGCCCTCCTCCTCCTCCTCCTCCTCCTCATCATCATCATCATCCATCCTCTCTGGAACAGGTTGATCATTTTGACACTCCTGCCCATTTTTGCGCCAAAGAGCTGCTTTTGTCGGATTCTGACTCCTCCATGTACGATAACTTGTACCTACATGGATTTGAAGACTCAGAGGCGGTGAGTGGAAGGGGCGTCTGACACTTGTGAACCATGCTTTTTCTTTTCGTGCCGCGGCTGGTTGATCCCATCACAAACACCCACAGAATGCGCTGAGACTCGAGTGGGCTGAGTGTGCACTCTTCTCGGGGGAGTTGGAAGAGGTTGGGGGAAGGGTGTGCACGCGTTTGTGTGTGTCGGCATGTCTGTATTTGAGAGAAAGTGTGTGTGAAAGGGCTCCTCAATCAGCCAACTGTACAGTTTTCTCACTGATGCTAACAGTTATTGGCTCAGCGGCAGCAGACGTATGTCTTTACCATCTCTCCATATGGTCTTCATTGCATACAGTAAAGCTCTGTTTATAGGCATTAAGGGTGTTCAAATGTGTGTACTGAATTCCAAACAACATCTTTTCCTCCCATGTGGCTTCATTTGTATCTTTTTATCTGTCTCTACATTCATCACATCCCACCTTTTACATCAACAAGGTGCAGAAAAGACCAGCAGCTGTACCTATTGACTGTCACATTTAAGACACGACTGTACGATAAAGAAACATCACATCCTCTTGTCTTTAAGTATAAATTGTCATTGATGCAACACATAGGTGGTGGTACACACACACATATAGACCAACACTTTGCCTTCGATGCAAGCGAGGCAAACATTATTATTGACGTGCAGATCAAGCATCCGTGGGATAAAAATGTATCACAGTCGTGGAAAAATGCTTACAAAGGCAATAAATGTAGAAGCTGCTGCTGCTTCTGCTGGGTGGAGGGGCGGAGGGAATCCCACTGAGCGAGAATCTGTCAAGACCTTTCTGTTACTCCATCTGACATCCAGGCTGCCTCCTGGACATTCAAGTTGGAGGGATTTTTTTTCTTTTTTTTTTTTTTTTTTTACACCTTCCGTTTTATCCACAGTGTCGGCAAGGGCGAGTTGGGTGGGTTTCCAGAAGAGTTAACACATTTTCATCTCACTTGTCTCTCGTTCTTTCAGGGGTAAATAATAAATGTGTATATGTTATATTAATCTTAGCATAAAAGTTTATGTTTTTACAAGAAACGCTCTGCACCCTAATGATGATTGTTTAACATGTCAGTCCCAAAATATGGGGTTGGTTTTAAACTTCTGGTTTCAGCTATTCGACAAGATCTCAGTAGCTCCTTCCAGGAATTTGACCCCCCTTTTTTTTAAGCCACAAAAGAATTTGTGAAGGAGAGAGGACTCACTTTACTCTTTTAATACTTTGTTGAAATGTCAAACTTGTTGAAGAAATTACTAAGACTTGACTCCATACAATAAGACTCAGTTGACTCAGATGGCTTACGTTGATGAAAGTTTATTCATCAGACGAATGCTCGTCGAGGAGACATGATTCAGCATCACACTTCTGTACTCGTGTCTTGCTCAATCGCATCTGCCGAACTTCTCGAAAGGCATCGCGTATATCCTGAAAGACATTATCATTATCAGAGTCGTGTCACATTGACCCACCTAGACTAAGCTGTGACGTCAATTACACTTTGGAGCAGACATTAAGTCTACCAAACATCCTTGCAGATATCAGGAAGAACAGTTGATACTCTCTAAGCTGTACTTGGTGTTCTAATAACAGCTGAACTCTGTCAGGTCTGACTGACATTAGAGAACAGTGAATAACCTAATGACATCTGTACATTATAATCTAAATAACTACAGAAATTCCACCACAAAACTGACGAGTAATGTATATCTTGACACTGATGTATATGTAAGGTTGTCTGTTATTGTAATGATCAGTAGTTTGGAAGACGTACCGAAGCTTTAAAAAAAAAAAAAAAAGCACCAACAGCTACTGTGAGCGACAGAGCGACAACATTTCTAAATTGCACAAATTTGACACAGTGCAGGAGTTCGCCTCCATTTTCTTTTGAAATTTAAAAAACAAGAAATGACCCAATATATGCATGGATTTGTATTTTGTTGCCATGGTATCACTAGAGTCATATCGAAGTTTAAAACTCTGGTATCATGACAACCCTACCTGTGTGTGCCTCTCTTTCTTAAGTCACTCTTACTACAATCATTGCTGCTGTACTCAATTCAATCAATCAATTTTTATTTGTATAGCGTCAACTCATAACAAGTGTTATCTCGAGACACTTTACAAAAAGCAGGTAAAAGACCTTACTCATTATCTTTTAACATTACAAAAGAGCAGGTTGTCATTGTTATGTTACAAAAGAGCAGGTAAAAAGACCTGTACTATGTTTAGACCACTATTGGCAGCACTACAGAGGACTTCTTTTGAGCTCTTACTGTCCTTGTGATTTGCTATCAGCACTTGTCATTATCTTGTGGATGTCTGGATTTCTTCAGAAATGAGACTCTGTCTAAGCACTTGTAAGGCAGCAGGAGGGGGAAATAGTGCATCTGTTGCATCCTCGACCTGTAATGACCTCAAGGCTCGTCCGACTCATTTCCAGATGAATGTGTTATAATCTACTCTACTCAGGAAATTGTTTGGCTCTCTGACCATTGACGGAGTCTCTTTCAGATGGCCATAGAGTGTATGCTCATAACGCCCATCTCCTGCTTGGGATTTTTTGTTTTTGTGTGTATAATTTCATCAGTACAACCATTGTTCGTTAATATCTGTAGTGTTTCTCAGCCTCTTAGAGTTGCACTACAGTGTTGGTCAAGGAAAATCATGCCAGTGTGTCTGTAGAGCTTGTTCGCAAAACCAAAAAAGATAGAAGAAAGCTGAAACTTACTCAGGAGCATTTTAGTTTGCTTCTGTATCATTTCCCCTGCAAATACTTCCACAGTCATCAGGGAAGAACTAGATGGTATCTCGTGCTTTTTCCCATTTTCAGTTCGTCCAGTGAATCATTTCAGTAGAATTATTGTAAGTGTATGAGTCTATGATCATACATGTATGATTACCAATGTTCATCTGTAAATAAGTATCAATAATTAGTTGGTTAATATTTCAATTGTATTCATTGCTTTGCATAACAACATTAACTTTAGCTAACAGGATTAATCAGTAAGTTTAGCATCTTGAATATCTTTAGATCAGGTTGAGTAATTTTGCAAGGAACAACAACAGTCAATATTTCTGGATTCCAGCTTCTTATGTTGTTGTATTTGAGTTTCTTTATTCTTCTTTGAGGGTAATTTGAATACCTTTGAAATGTGACATATTGACATATTTCACAATTTATAAACCAAAGAAGTAAAACATTATAATAAAGAGGCAAATTGTCAATGAAAATAATTAGAAGTTGCAGTTTTAAGAGTGACTCTCTCCAGTTTACAGGATTAATGTAACCAGCCCACTACAGTTTATGCACAACTGCATGTTGTTTGATGTATGACTCACCTGTAGTGAGGCAATGATGCAAATTACAAATACACCTGATTAGTGATTGTACTTTTGAAGGGATGTGTGAGGGAGAACTCTTTGAGACTTAACTCTATGAATGGATTATGAGACCAATTCCCTTATTTGGTTTTTAGTTTTAGATGGTGGCATGGTTCCACTTCTCCAAGGTGTCCAACCATGTTGGTGTTGGATATAATGAAGAGAGAATGCTTTTAGCATTGTAAGACTTGGTCTGATAGTGGAGGCGGTCAGAGGAGAGAAAAGGATGGAGATGGGACTCCACACCAAGTTCTGGCGTCTGTACAGATAAAGCTTGAGTGTGGCACGATGGACTCAAGAACTGGCCACTTGACACTCATAGATAACAACCAAACAAACAACTCATTGTCTGTGTGTGTGTGTGTGTGTGTGTGGGTAGACACAGGAGACAGACAGAGAAGAGGTGGAGAGCTTTGTTGGCAGAATTGTTGCTTGTGTCCGTTCACATGATAGTAAACATTTTGGATCGCTGGCTCACACTCTGAATGCTTTATGTCCTTAACAGAAAAATTTGCCAAATGACATCTTCAGTTTCAATCATGGCCAAACAGTTTAAGGAATATAGGGTGGCAAATGAACTACCAAATTATATAATAAGGGTTAACCTTGTCTTTGTCATGGTTTCAAAAACACCAATAAAATCAAATGAAGTCTTGTAGTACAGGAATGCATCTTAATAATCAGGAATAATCTTACTCGAGTACTTTACTAATATATTAACTGCAAACTACATGAGCATTGAGTTGAACATGCAGTTATCTTGTTAGTAAATGTCAGATAGCAGCACTTAGTTTAATTTGGCAGCCAATGAGGAATACAAGAGAAACTTTTTGCTGACCTCCTCAAATATTTATGTACCAAATTTGGTTCAAATGCTTTAGGATGTAGGAGTTTGTGCCAACGCGAGTGGAGGGGGATTGGAGGTGTGCCGCTGGAGGTGAGGCTTCAGAGGAGGTGTCTCCAAACAGCAGTTTGTTTTGGTCTAGTGCTGGTGCTCAAGGACGGCATCTACTGGATCAAAAAGTCTAATTTTCTTCCTTTAAGTTTCACTTTAGTTGACCGACATGGTCTTACCAAATTGACAAATGCAAATAAAACTGGAACCTCTCGATTCATTTTGGATTTTCTTGGACATAAATCGTTAGAAAATCAAACCATTCTTGATATAAAAAGTTCAACCCTGTTTCCAAAAGAGTTGGGAAAATCTCAAACGTAAATTAAAACATTTTAATTTTAAATATGTTGTTTCAATATATTGCAGGTCATCACATTCTGTTTTTATTTACGTCTTAATTTTGTCCCCTGGGTTTTAGTTTCTTTGGTAAATCCTTCAGGGTTCAGGTAGGCGGGGATAAAAGGGAGTGGAATGGAGTTTAGATTTGCTGACACCCTCTTGACATATCACTCATTGGTTTTCGGAGGGATACGAGGCTTTTATAGGTATTCATGCACAATAATAGCACGAGGTTGGAAGAGGTTGAAGAGCTCATTCGGCACAGGTGGCACAGTTTACAAAAGAGAGGCGTGGTCCTGTTCCTGAACCTACAGGATCATTCAACATAACAGACCTGAACAAGTAGGTTTAAGTTTTTCAAAAGCTTAAAGCAAC